GAATAATAAATAATTTGGCTGGTCTTTGTTCCTTTTTCCTGGGAGGGAGCCTCTAAATCCTTGGAATTTCCTGAGCGCTAGGAGCATCTCGTTATTCATGGTGGGCCCCTAGAACAACACCTTAGTTTATGTTAACATATGACTCACTGTGGGGGCTGGCCACTCCAGAGAGACTAACCATGTGATCAGAAAATTTGGGCTTTGAATCACAGGACCTCCTGGGAAGAAAAGGGACCTGGAGATTGAGTTCCACCATGTGGCCAATCATTTAATAAATCATGCATATGTAAGGAAACCCCAGTAAAAACTCTGGATGCTGATGATCATCTGCTGTATATCACCTGGTTGGTGATATACATTGTGGTGATACACATTGATGTGCCAGGATGGTGATGCCTCCTGGGGACACAGAAGCTTCATGTTTGGTACCCTTCATATCCATGGGTTCCACATCTGTGGACTCAACCAACATAAAAAATATTTGAGAAAAAAATTGTGTGTGTACTGAACATGTACAGACTTTTTTTGGTCATCATTCCCTAAACAATACAGTATAACAACTATTTACATAGCATTTACATTGTATTAGGTATTATAAGTAATCTAGAGATAATTTAAAGAATATGGGAGGATGTACATATGTTATATGCCAGTACAATGCCATTTTATATCAGGGACTTGAGAATCCTTGGATTTTGGTATCCTCGGGAAGTCCTTGGACCAAACCCCCAGGGATACCGAGGGACAACTATATATCTCTTCATTGGTTGGTCCTGATTTTTGTCCTTTATGATGAAACTATAATCATAAGTATAGTGCTTTCCTGAGTCCTGTGAGTTATAATGAATTATTAAACTTGAGAGTTTAGTAGGAACCCCTGAATTTGTAGCCAGTTAGTCAGAAGTGCCTGCGGTGGCCTGGGCTCCCTAGAGCTTATGCATGATATTTGAAGTGAGGGGAGTCTTTTGGAGAACTGTGCCCTCAATCTGTGAAGTCTATGCTGACTCTGGGTATTAGCATCAGAAGTATGTTAACTCTCTGGGTAGTTAGCATTGTAGAGCATTTCTGCATTTAAAAGTAAAGTCTGAAAATTATTGAACTAGATGCTTTTGAAGGTCTCTGCATTTCTATAACTGTTTATGGATTCATATTGCAGATACATGATTAATTTTGGCATTTATTGAGCACTTAGGCTGAGAGCATGGATATTGAAAGAATTGCCCAAAGTAGAAGTTATTATTTTCAGGGGATTTGCAATTTATTATGGAAGCTTGAACAATGACAGGTAAATTTGAGTCACTTCTCCTCTTAGCATACCCTCTGGCCAGCACAAAATTGAACAGCATTTCAACATTCGCTTTCTAAATAACCCATTTAGTTACCAGTGTAGTGTTAGTTTCTTATTATGTTTTTTTCTTTTCTCTCTTCCATACCATTTTTACATATTGGCAATAGATTAGTTCTGATTGGATTATTTTCTTGCTCAGAACTCTTTCTGGCTTTCTGATGTTTGTTTGTTTGTTTCTTTCTTTCTGGCTTGCTGACGTTTCTTTCATTCATTCATTCATTCATTCATTCGTTCATTCATTTTTAGAGACAGGGTCTTACCGTATTGCCCAGGCTGGATTACAGTGCTTATTCACAGGCACAATTATGGCACACTACAGCCTTGGACTCTTGGGCTCAAGGGATCCTCCTGCCTCAGCCTCCTGAGTGGTTGAGAATGCAGGTGCAATACTGTATTTGACTCTGATGTTTCTGGAATTAATACAAACACCTCATCTAGTATTTTAGGTCTTAGTGTAGTTATACCTTATTATAAACTTTCAGCAAGTAGTCTGTATTTCAGCCAGCCTAGATTCTGCATTTTACTTTTTTTCTGTTTTTATATCCTTACTCTTTATTCACTTAAATAGAAACAAAAGTGTTCATTATTTATTCTGTTCTTAGTTTATAAATTTATCAAGAAGCTTTTCCTGATTTTTCTTTTCTCTCCCTCCAGGTTCTTTACCTTTCTTTCATCTTGCTTTGTGCTTTACATTATTTCTTTGATACTTTTTCTATCATATATTTAAGGCCTCTATCTGCTGACTTCAATTCCTTTTTTAGATTGTAAGCCTGTTGGATAGGGTCTGGCATGGACTAGAAGCTTATTCCATTTTGTCGAATATGTATTCAAATTTTATGATTTCCTGCATGGAAATCACTTTACTGTGATCATAAATGTTTTGGACATTTATATTAATTCTTACACAAGGAATTAATTTGTGTGAATAACCTGCTTTCGTTATCCTCCCTGTTAGAAGACTGTAGGATGGCTAGGCATAGGTACCTATAAGTACTCACGTGTTATCACTCATTACCTCCTTACTGCTGGTAGGTGATGCTGTTTCCTTTAGGGCTGTGATATACATCAGGTATCATAAGCTTCCAAAGAATTTGGACACCGTTGGCTGCTTTATATTTTATGCTTTTATTAATAAATTCACATGACCTACCTTCACCTCTCAGTAGTAGGTCAAAATGGGAAAATAAATGTTCTCTGTTGATTGATGCAGCAGGGCATTGAGGAGAGGATGGAGGTAGGAATTTCTTTTATCACATGATCAGGACCAGCCGTTACAGATAAGAATCTCAGTCCTCTCCACCCCTCCAGATCTATCTCTAGTTCTCTGATTAAAAAATGTAAACTGTTATTGAGGATCTTGGTGATGTTATCTTTGAGCATATCTGTTCTTTGAATTGCAGTGCTCCAGTCAAGACTGGATATCCTGTGCTTCTGTACAGCTGTTGTCTTAGAAGATAGTGATGATTTTTTATTTTTTTTTTTAACTTTTTCCCCTCCTACATAGGTTCTGTTTCTCCTATGTTGCTTTTTTCTGTTTTGTTTTTCTTTTCCTTTCTTTTCTTTTTTTTTTTCCTCCAAATCCTGAAGATAGAAACCTTTATTTTCTATGAAGAAGATTTTCTCAGATAGCTGATAATCCTTGCTTGGCTACCCATGATTAACACTGGAGAAATTAAAAGCACATTGGAAGCTCTGATCATGTGGTTAGGTCTTGTTGACTTTGAACTTCATCATAGCTTGGTCTGGTGGGCCATTTACTATGGAATTCCCTCCCTCTCAAAGCACTATCTTTAGAGCTTTCCTCTTGGGCTGACCTGGAGTCTCCAGAGAAGTGTCTTCTAATATTCTCTCAGAGAGTGATGGTCCAAATGTTGAATCAGCCTTACATACCTGGGGTAAATCTCACTTGGTCATGGTGTATAATTTTTTAATATATTGTTGGATTCGATTTACTAATAATTTGTTGAGAATTTTAGCATCTATGTTCATGAGAAATAGTGGTTTGTAGTTTCCTTATCTTTGTCTGGTTTTGGTATTAGAGTAATGCTGGCCTCATAGAATAAATTAGGAAGTATTCCTTCTGCTTCAGTCTTCTGCAAGAGATCACAGAGAATTGATATAATAATTTCTTCCTCAAATGTGTGATAGAATTCACCAGTGAACCCATCTGGGCCTGGTGTTTTCTGTTTTGGAAGATTATTTATTATTGGTTCAATTTCTCTAATAGATATGGGCCTACTCAGATTGAGATTATCTCTTATTATGTGAGTTTTGGCAGATTATGTCTTCCAAGGAATTGTTTCATTTCATCTATGTGGGCATAGAGTTGCTCATAGTCTAGAAAAGCTTTGCTTGACTTCCAGAAAACAAAACTTTCACTCTTTTGCTTCAGCTGGGGAGAGGTAGTTGCTAGTTAGTGCCTTTGAGTGAGGAAGGCAAAGTAGCAACCTACCTGCATTTCAAACAGCTTTTATTCATTACTCCTAACCTTAAATCCTCTTTCTTCTT